GTGTCAGTGCCTCTCTGGCTACCATCTGTCAAGAGACCGGAGCCGATGCGAGGGTAAGCAGGGCGGAGGGCTGGGAGTTAGCCTGTTCCTCCCTACCCCAGGGCTGCCCCGGGCTGGGCTCCAAGCCAGGCACTCCCCTGTCCAGCGCCCCCTCCAGATCCAACATCGGGTCTGGGGTGCAGGCCTGACCCGGGGCTCTGGGGGAAGCCTTGGCAGCCTCGGGCTGGGCTGTCTGAGCTGGGTGAGCCCCTGAGGTTCCCCACCTCTCTGATCCTCTGCAGACATCGATGAGTGTGACTTCCCCGCAGCCTGCATTGGGGGTGACTGCATCAACACCAATGGCTCCTACCGATGTCTCTGTCCCCAGGGGCATCGGCTGGTAGGCGGCAGGAAGTGCCAAGGTATGGGGGAGATTGGCTGAGAGTCACCAAGGAGGGCTGGCAGGGAATGGCAGGAATCTAGACTCCCTGTCGATCTGTCTTTCCATCCATCTGTCCATCCACACATTCACTCCCCCTTCAACTCCTTCACCTACAGTAGCAACAATAATGAAAGTAATTACAGTGTGCCTACTGGGTGCCCGCTCGCCGTATGTGCGGTAGCCAGCAATTTCCTGAGAACCGGCTATCTGCCAGCTTCTGCACTATGTGCCAGGTACGGAGCGACAACCCAGGGCCCCCACTAGGGGAGGCTGACATGTGAGTTGATTCCTACCATTCAGGGTGCCAGAAGAGGTCTGCATAAGTGATTAATTGGCAACAGAGAGGGGACAATTGAACTGGAACTTGGAGCAAAAAGATGGTATCTTTTTTTTTTTTTAAAGATTTTTATTTATTTATTTGACAGATCACAAGTAACAGGCAGGCAGAGAGAGAGAAGGAAACAGGCTCCCTGGTGAGCAGAGACCCCGACATGGGGCTCGATCCCAGGACCCTGGGATCATGACCTGAGCCGAAGGCAGAGGCTTTAACCCACTGAGCCACCCAGGCGCCCCTCTTTTTTTTCTTTTTTTTAAGATTTTATTTATTTATTTGACAGAGAGAGATCACAGGCAGGCGGGGGGGGGGGGGGGGGGGGGGGAAGCAGTCTCCTTGCTGAGCAGAGAGCCCGATGCAGGGCTCAATCCCAGGACCGTGAGATCATGACCTGACCCCAAGGTAGAGGCTTAAACCACTGAGCCACCCAAGCGCCCCTCCTTTTTGTTTCTTTTTTTTCCTTTTTTTTTTTTAAATTGCCTTGGAAATGTGAGAAAACATTGCATTTCCCTTTTTTTTTTTTAAAGATCTTATTATTTGACAGAGACACAACGAGACAGGGAACACAAACAGAGGGAGTAGGAGAGGGAGAAGCAGGCTTCCCGCTGAGCAGGGAGCCTGATGCGATGCGGGGCTCGATCCCAGGACCCTGGGATCATGACCTGAGCTGAAGGCAGACGCTTAATGACTGAGCCACCCAAGTGCCCCTAAAGATGGTTTCCTAAGGCATAAATAAAGTCCCCATGCAGAGAGAAGCAGGCATGGTATTCCAGGCCCAAAGAACAGGGTGTGCAAAGCACAGGGATCTGGGAGGAGTCAGTTGTGTTTTTAGGGGAGAGTGCCCTGAACATAGATTTGGGGGTGCCAGTATTTAGAATAAAGGATGAAACTGATATGTATGAGGAGGCCAAACCAAAAGTCCCCAGATGCGGGACTAAGAGTTAGGACTCCATTTGTTGCTGGTGGCAGCCATGGTACCTAAAACCCGCCATGTGAATGGCAGAAGACAGTGAATGTGCTCACCTCTAGTCACACGCACAGACAGACCTGAGTGGACATCGTGTTGTGTGCACTTTGAGATCAAAGTGGAAGTTTGGGTTCTGAGCTTATGTGAGTCCCTGGAGGCACACCCCGTAGGGAAGGAAGGGCTGGTTTCCTTGGAGCAACTCTTCCTGCTTCCCTTGCTGGCCACAGACATAGATGAATGCAGTCAGGACCCTGGCCTGTGCCTTCCCCACGGGGCCTGTGAGAACCTACAGGGCTCCTACGCTTGCATCTGTGATGAGGGCTTCACGCCCACCCAGGACCACCACGGCTGTGAGGGTGAGTGGCCCGGGTTCAGAGACGGGTGCTGGTCCCAGCCTCTGGAATCAGGGGAACAAGGAGAAATCCCTTTTGCCTGAGAGTCTGGGGGGGGGGGGGGGGGGGACCTCGCAGGAGGGCCCTGAATGCCACTTTGAGGTTGGAACTTGGCTCTGACAGGGCGGCTGAGGGGAGCCAGGGAAGGTGAGGGAGCAGAGGAAGGAGACTGGTGGGGAGCGTGGGTTGGCAGGATTGTTTGCAGGACCCTGAGCTTCCCTCCTCTCCCCTCAGAGGTGGAGCCGCCCCACCACAAGAAGGAGTGCTACCTTAACTTCGATGACACGGTGTTCTGCGACAGTGTACTGGCCACCAATGTCACCCAGCAGGAATGCTGCTGTTCGCTGGGAGCTGGCTGGGGAGACCACTGTGAGATCTATCCCTGCCCAGTCTACAGCTCAGGTCAGGAGTCTCAGTTTCTTCATTTTTGGAAATGTGCTGGGGAGACGGCCCCTTCCTGGGTCGGTGGGAAATGGCGGCGGAGAGCTCCGACCTGAGCCCAGCGGCTAGTGCGCGCGCGCTCAGTCGTGCCTCCTTTCTTCCCCGCGGCCGCTCTCTCCCCGCAGCTGAGTTCCACAGCCTCTGCCCAGACGGGAAGGGCTACACCCAAGACAACAACATTGTCAACTACGGCATCCCAGCCCACCGTGGTAAGCCCCGAAACGACTCCGCCCGCCGGGCCCGCCCCGGCCCGCCCACCGAGCTTCGGACCGCCCCGATCCCGCCCGTGCCCGCTAGGTCGGTAGCGGGCCCTGGGGTAAGCCCCGCCCACATCTTCAGCGTCTGCCCCGCCCCTAGCACGCCTACGTCCGGGCCCGAAAAAGCCTCTCCCGCCGAGTTTGCTTGGCTCCCGCGGTTAGCCCCGCCCCCACTTCCCTGGCTGCGGGCCAGAGCCGCCCGGCAGGTAAGGACCACGGGGCGCCCACGGCTTGTCCCTCCGCAGACATCGACGAGTGCATATTGTTTGGGGCGGAGATCTGCAAGGAGGGCAAGTGCGTGAATACGCAGCCGGGCTACGAGTGCTATTGCAAGCAAGGCTTCTACTACGACGGGAACCTGCTGGAGTGCGTGGGTGAGTGCAGGCGATCCCCGCGGCGTGGGACCGCGGCCGGGAGACACACACAACCACCCTACTTCGGGCCGGTTCCCTCCACGGGCGCTTTTCCTCCCCGCAGACGTGGACGAGTGCCTGGACGAGTCCAACTGCCGGAACGGAGTGTGTGAGAACACGCGCGGCGGCTACCGCTGTGCCTGCACGCCCCCGGCCGAGTACAGCCCAGCGCAGCGCCAGTGTCTGAGCCCAGAGGAGATGGGTGAGGCCCGGGCCTGCTGGCTGGGGAAACAGGAGGGGAGCGGGGACCGGGCCGAGCCGTGACCGCCACCCCCGCACATGCCCTCGCTACCCGTAGACGTAGACGAGTGCCAGGACCCGGCAGCCTGCCGCCCTGGTCGCTGCGTCAACCTGCCGGGCTCCTACCGCTGCGAGTGCCGCCCGCCCTGGGTGCCCGGGCCCTCCGGCCGCGATTGCCAGCTCCCAGAGAGCCCAGCCGGTGAGGGCGAGAGTTGTCCTGGGCCAATCCGAGGGCCCGGTCCGCTGTGTGGAGCCCCGGGGTCGCGGCCCCCGCGAGGGTGGGTGGGAACGGGGGGGCCGATTGCCCCCCACCCCCGCCTTGGGGCGCCTAGCTGATGCCGGGTCTCCCTCCGCAGAGCGTGCCCCGGAGCTGCGGGACGTGTGCTGGGCCCAGCGTGGAGAAGACGGCATGTGCGCGGGGCCCCTAGCCGGGCCAACCCTCACCTTCGACGACTGCTGCTGTCGCCAGGGACGCGGCTGGGGAGCCCAGTGCCGCCCCTGCCCGCCGCGCAGCTCCGGTGAGCCAAACCGCCGCGCGCCCCCGGAGCGGTTGGGGCGGGAGCTGGGTGCATCCACGTCGCTGACCGCCCCTGTCCCTCCCAGGGTCCCAGTGCCCGACGTCGCAGAGTGAGAGCAATTCTTTCTGGGACGCGAGTCCCCTGCTGCTGGGGAAGCCCCCTCGAGGTGAGTGTAGCAGGAGGGCAAGGCGTGGTGGTGGTCGGCGGGGGTTCCAGTCCGGCTGCAGGTAGTGGAGGTGGAGGTTAATGTCGACATTCTCCCGGCCTGCGCAGAAGAGGACAGCTCAGAGGAGGATTCCGACGAGTGCCGCTGCGTGAGTGGCCGCTGCGTGCCCCGGCCCGGTGGCGCCGTGTGCGAGTGTCCTGGAGGCTTCCAGCTCGACGCCTCTCGCGCGCGCTGTGTGGGTGAGCCGGGGGCGGGGTGGGGCGCGGCCGGAGGGAGGTGTGCAAGCTAAGGGGGCTGCGTACTCTGGCGCCCCGGTGAAGCCCGCACCTGTCGCCCCCACCCCCAGACATCGACGAGTGCCGGGAGCTGAACCAGCGCGGGCTGCTGTGCAAGAGCGAGCGCTGCGTGAACACGAGCGGCTCCTTCCGCTGCGTCTGCAAAGCTGGCTTCGCGCGCAGCCGCCCGCACGGGGCCTGCGTGCCCCAGCGCCGCCGCTGACGCGGAGCCCGGACCTCGGCCATCAGCGAGAGAGGTTTCCGCCTGAGCCTCTAGGCGAGCTCAGCCTCTGCTGCCTGCCCCAACTCGGGGCTCGGACCCAGGGACTCTCCAGGGCTCTCAGACCCCTCCCTGCGCCCAGCAGCGCCGCCCAGTTCACAGGAAGAGACTGGGTCTCTGGCACTGGCGGCCTTCCTCCCAGAGGGCATTTCCTGGCAACCGATAAATCAGATCGTGCCTCTTTACTCTTGGTTTTCCAAGCAAATTAATGTTCATGTCTGTGGTAGGCGTGGACTCCACAGGGCTGCGCCAGACCCGAGCCTCCTGGGAGGGGCTACACTGAGCCAACACCAGGGTGTGAAATAGAATTTATTGTGGCTCTGATTATGTACACGTGAGATGTGCCTGGCCAGACTGGCCGGGCTGCATGGTTTGTACAATAAATACATCCGCGGGGCCCGCTCTCCGCGGCTACAAGCGCCCGCACCCGCAGTTCAGTCCAGCTTCCGGGTGCCCAGCTTCATGGGGCCCTTGGCTGCCTTCTTCTCCGCGCGTTTGGCCTCCATCTCCCGCCTGCGCTCCTCACGCTTCTTCCGGGCCAGCTCGGCCTTCCCTTGCCCTGGGAGCAGGAGGAGGTGGGCTGAGGGCTTCAGGAGCACAGGGGGCTCAGCTGCCCAGCCTGCACTTGCCCCAAGGTCAATAGCCCTAGTCCACCAGCTGTCCCAGGGGAAGCACTTACGGTTCTCTGTCTCCAGACCCTCCCAGTTGTCATCGCCCCACGAATCAGGTCTCAGCTGAAACGAAAGTGTGGCGGGAGTGGGCATGGACTCCCAGCTGAGGTCTACCCCAGTCTGTACCCTCCCCCAGATGGGTGCCACGTACCTGCGCACCAGTCTCCCGTCGAGCCGACAGGGCAGCAAAGGGATCACCTTTGTCGCTGGGCTCCGGGCCACCCCAGTTATATTCACTGGCCAGCCGTGTGCCCTCAGGGGGTGGCTCTGGGGGACTTGGGTCCTGCCAGCCCTGCTCCCATGAGCCCTCCGCATCCCAGCTGCTCCAGTCTGACTCGGGGGATTTGACATCCAGGCTGCTGGTCTGCAGAAGGTGGGAAGGTGGTGCCTGATGGGGTGGGGGGAGCTGGCCCCACCCCCACAGAAACACCCGTGTCCCACTCTGCTTACCTGCCCAGCACGGCTAGCCTGGCCCCCAGTACTCCAGTCTTCCTGCTGGACCAACACCGATTCGGCCTCCTGCTGCAGTGTGGGAAGGAGAGGACGGCCATAGACACGCCAGCCCGCCCCCGAAGGGCCAGGAAGCCTGCTAGCCCCTTCCCAGCCATGGGCTCTATCCTTTCTTCTTTTGCATTCCATCTCATTTGCTCCTCAAGCCTTGTTTCCCATCCAGAGTGCACGTGCCATCACTCTGAGGCTGGGGAGTAAGATCTAGCTGGTCCACACCCTCCCCACAGCCCCAGGCCAGACACTGCTGACAGCAGGTGGAGAAATCGGGCCCAGAGGCCTGTCCCCATTCCCTTCAGCGTAGCCCCACTCCATCCTCAGCAACCCCTCTCCATAGGCCTGGGGATGGCCGCTCCTTGCTGACCAGTGGAGCCAGTGGGCAAAGGATGGGGACCAGAAGAGAGTGAGGAAGACCAAGGGGCTGCCCCCAAAACCACCCACCTGGACTCCCATTCCCAGCCCTGCTCCCCGGAGCCCTTGGAGCTGAGTGGGTGTCCGCTGCCAGCTCTTACCCATAAGAGCTACTCCAGGACGCCGCCTCACCAGGGACGCCGCCTCACCAGGGACACCGTGCAGATGAGGACAGGCGGGACTCCAGCCAAGGCCACCCAAGCTCCTTGAAGGCAGGCTTCAACCTTTGAGCTGGAGTCGCCTAGGGAGACCCCTGAGCCCCACTCACCTCCAAGCTGCCCCAGTCTTCATCGTCCCATCTGTCAGCAGCACTGCTGTCGTCTGCCGTGTCTGTGCCCTCCTCTTGCGTCTCCCAGGGGCCTGGGGTTGCGGGTGTGGCAGGAACGAGGGTAGGGGCCGGGGCAGGAAGTCCTGAGGAGCAGAGGCTCACTGAGCTCCCATACACTGGGACCCAGGAAGGTCTCAAAACAGGGAGAGGTTGCTGGGGGGTGGAGGGAGGTGTAGGGAGGGAAAGCTCATGAGGGAACTAGACTCTGCCCTGTCCCCGCATCCCCACTGCCACGCCAGGGGAAGCCAGACAGAATAGCTCCTGGGTGCTGGCACCCCTGAGCCCTCTGAGTCACCGATGCAGCCACTCTGGGACACTCACCCTCAGGCGTGGGTCTCTGGGGGACGTTGGTCTCAGCTGGGGCGGCTGCTGGGTGTGCACGGATCAGCTTGGAGGTGAGCGAGGAGACCCCTGTCACAGCCCAGCCTGCCCAGCTGGCTGCCGCCCCTCCCATGCCGGGGCTGGATGCTGCGTGGACATCCTTCTCTGGGCAGTGACAGAAGGCAGAGACAGGGACAGTCACCCCAGGCTCTCTATGGGGAAGGTGACAGGAAGGCAGGAACTAACACGGAGCAACTTGTAGTGGCCCCCCTTCTCCGGGCCTGTGCTCTCCCATCGGTGGGATGGGAGCGGTGAGGAGCCGTGGTGTCAGGTCTGCTCCCTGCTGTTCTAGCTTCCAGATACTCCAGTGAGGGGGAAGGGGGCCATGAAAGGTGACAGTCAAAGATGTGGTGGGAGGGAAAGGGAACATGAGTGTGGGCCACTCACCCACTTCAGCCAGCTGGGTGGGGTCCTCGGACACAGACTCCAGTTGGGACAGGAAGCTTCGAATGGCCTTGAAGGCCTGTGGGGGAGGAAGGGGCAGAGCTGGGGCCTCCAGGGTTCCTGCGAGCCCACCGGGCCAGCCAGGGCCCAGCTAACCCCCGGAGCTCCAGCTCGAACCCAGGCCCAGCTGTGCCTCACCTGGTCTCGCACAGATTTCTCGGGATCCACAGTGAGGCCGCAGAGCACAGGCAGGATCTTGTGGGCACAGTCGTTCATCGAGTAGAGATTGTGGGTGGCCGCAAAGCCCAGGACACCCGCCACCCGGGAAGGCGCGAATGGGTCCTTAGTGGCCCGGCTGAAGGCAGAGGTGAGGACCCTGTGCCTGGTCTGGGGAGGGCCGGGGGAGAGCGCTCCTGAGTGGAGGGTCCGTACTGGGACCCAGGACTGCCAGACCGGCTTCCCAGAGCAGAACCATCTACGGATGCTCCCACCCCCAAGTCAGAAAAACGTGAGCTAATCACCGACAAATGGGGAGACTTTTTACTGAAAACTCAATCTTGGCTTCTCCTCCCAGATCAGTGGGTTCCTGCTGCCTCAGGACAGCGGGGGCTGGAACAGCAGCTGCCTTGGGGCTAGGGCCTGCGCCTCTCTCCGGACCTGTGCACTGACATCATTCATTCATTCATTCATTCATTCATTCATTCCTGCTATGTGTCTGCATTTGCAAACCCTGGCCTCGGGGCTGCCCATGGCGTCGGGGCCAAGCAAGCCAGAGTTTGGCTCCCAGATCCAGCACCATCGGCTCTCTGACGCTGGGGCTGGGAGGATGACTGCACAAGAAGGCCTGGCCCCGGAGGACGCTGGGCCCCAAGGCAGGGACAAAAGCCCCAGGCGGCAGGCTGGGCACTCACACTGGCACTGAGGTAGGAGCCGATCTTGCCCAGGCAGACGGTGGTGTTGCAGCGAATGGGGCCCTGCTCGTCCTTGGCCTGCAGCCGCGCGAAGTGCTTCATCAGCTCCACGTTGAGGTTGGCCTCGTTCAGCTTCGGGGCCAAGAGCAGCATGGACTGCGGGGGTGGGGGCAGGGTGGAAATTGGAGGCCACAGCCAGCAAAGCGCCATGGGGAGGAGTGGCCTCCTGGGAGGGTGTGGAGGCCGACAGGGACACTGGGCTCTGACAGGACCGGCCAAGGCCCTCCCAAACCTGCCTCCCCAGCAGGTCCTGGCCCCTACCTGGAATGCTGAGCAACGGGACACTTCTCTGTCCCCTTCACCCCACAACCTCTGAGGTTTGCTCACGCTCCTGTCTCCCATCTTTCTCCTTCTGCTCTCTCTTGCGTGCACTCGACTCAGATGTCCACAGAAACACCCCCACCACACTCGACTAACTGGCTGGAGGGGAGATCACCAGGGACCTCTGTGTTGCTAAGTCCAATGGCCAATTCTCCATCCCAACCAAACCCGACCCCTCAGCGCTGTGACATCCCCAAGCTCTCCCTCCTGGAGACTTCCATCTCTGGTCCTCCAGGCCCCCACCCTCTCCTGGTTCTCCTCGGACCTCACTGGCCGCTCCTTCTAGGTCTCCTGTGGCCGAGATCTCACTGTTCAGAGCCCCAGAGCGGCTCCCCAGGCCCCTTCTCTTGTACACCGCACCCTACGTGACCTTACCCCTTCGTGGCTTTGAAAGCCCTGAGTAGTGGACAATGCCCAGGTGCACACCTCCGGCCCAGGCTTCTTCCTAAAACTACACACACGTATAACCAGCGGCCAAACAGACACCCGCACCTGCCTAACAGACGTGGCCAATTGCAGACCGACCTCTTCCTGCAAAACTGCTGCTCCCAGTCTTCTCGGTAAATGGCAACTTAACCTTCCAGCTGCCCAGGCCAGAAACCTCGGAGCCATACTTGGCTTCACAGCCACCCACGGGCACATACCATCTGCCCGCCCCCTTTGGAACGTGGCCCCTTCTGTCCACCCGCTACTGCCTTTCAGATCTGAGCCCCCATGACCTCTCAGATGCCACCTCTCTGCCCCTTCAGCCATGCTATCCCTCCTGCTGCTATTCCTCCATTCCAGGCACGTGCTAGCCTCCAGATCTCTGGGCACAGTCCCTCTGCACACAGCACGTTTCCTCACCATCTCCCTGCAGCCTGACTCTTTGCCTCCCTTCCTTTAGTGACACCTCCCTGGCAAAGGCTTCCCTGACTGCTGTTCTCAAAACTGCAAACCCTTCTCTTCACGCTCTGTGACTTTCTAACACAGTTTTTCTTTTCTTTTCTTTTCTTCTCTTTTCTTTTTAAGACTTTATTTATTTTAGAAAGAGAGCAGTCGTGCGTGCACTGGAGCAGGGGGAGGAACAGAGGGAGAGGGAGAAGCAGATGCCATGCTGAGCACAGAGACCCGCTCAAGGCTCGATCCCAGGACCCTGAGATCATGACCTGAGCTGAGATCAGGAGTCAGTCAACCTACTGAGCCACCCAGGCTCCCCCTAACATCTCTTTCTAATTCTGTTTCCTGTCTGGCAAGCCCACTATCACCTCAAAAAGCAGCTCCATGAGACAGACCCTGCGTCCAAGCACGGGCGACAAGGCTGGGCACTGAGAGAGCCTCAGCCAGTGTCCACTGCACGGAGGATACAGGCCATGCCCGTGCTGCCCTCCCACCAGCTACTGAGCTGCACCCGGGGCCTGGGCCTATATGCCGGATGGTGCCTGCCCCTCCCCTAACCTCCTCAGACGCACAGGCCCAAACCAAGGCCTCTGTCCTCGTGTGAGCCCCCTCCAAGCCTTGGAAAACCAGGGCACACCTACCTTGACTGTCTGCTCTCGGATGGCAGGGTTGGTGTCCAGGAAGCCATGTACAACGTGGGGAAAGATCTGTGTGTTGACTGTTGGCTCATCCAGGTACTGAATAAACTGTTCCATCTGTGGCCCGGTGTTGGGGGAGGGGGGCGGTGAGAACAGAGTCAGCCCCTCTTTGCCTGACCACGGCCACCGGCCAATTTCGTGGCTTGGTTATTCCCCCTACAGAGGCGCTGGCCAGCCAGGTGAGTGTCCTGAGCCCTCTACCTCACAGTTGGCCTTTCTCTGGCCTTAGGACCACATGCAGTGATGAGAGGCTAGGACGGTGCTGGGAAGAACCAAGGACTGGGATCGGGAGGGTCCGGCCTGTGGTCCTGCACCACGCCCCTTCTTAGAGCCTCCACTGCCTCTTCTGTAAAAGGAATTATCGCCCCCACCCGGGAAGTGGCTCAGGGAGGGCTGGCATGTTTGGCAGTCGGAGAGGGGATGACACCTGGGAGCCTCTAGGACTTCCTGGCTTATAAGAGGCCCCTCCCCTCGATCCCAGAGATCATGTCTGATGCTCCCGACTACCCTGGTGTTGGCAGGAGAGACACTATCCCCACTCTAAATGGCTCAGGTGACCAAGCCAAGAGATTGGGTTGCAGGGGGAAGGCCTGCGGTCTGGGCAGGCTGTGCCTTCTCAAAGCTGCCGATGAGCCCCATGATGGTCTCGATTTCCTAGGAGCCTAGGCTTACCAGCCCCTCACCTGTGTGTGTTTGGGGAAAAGTTTCCAGGGTGCCACCTCCTGTCACCGGCCTGGGACTGGAGGTGAGGCAGGGGGTCTCCCCAGCAGCCAAGGTGGGGTCCAGGTGGGATAGAGGGGGACAGGGTCTAACCACAGCCCCCACCTGCTGTAGGAGGCGGATGCGCATGGCCCGGTCAGTGGACGAGAACATCTTGACCACGACAGGGATGATCTTCTGCTGGTACTCCTCAGCGTTGAGAAACTTGCCCACCTTCGGGAAAGAGCAGGAGACGGGGCTCAGCTGCCTCCGTGGAAGTGGGGTGACCTTACTGGGCTCATTCATTTTCCTTGGGCTCCCTGCTTATATCCCAGGATGGGGAGGGGGTGATGGTGGAGGGAGTTCTGGCACTTCTCCAGCAGCCCTTCTGCCCATCCTCTCAGGCAGCCCTGCCTGTAACACCTTTTTGGGTCAAGGCAGCCTCTCAGGAGGCCGATGAAAGGTCTGTGCCCCTCCGTACAATCAGGCCCCAGTACACTACATGGACACACGTGCACACAGAATTCTAACTATAATTCTGTCACTTCTGGAGATTGCCAGCCATATGGGATTTGCTTGCTGTCTTCCCCCTTCGTGGAAAAGTGGACAGAGTGGGGAACGGCAGGTGCCCAGGTAAGGGTAGGCTGGGGTCTGGGGAAGGCGGAGAGGATCCAGCTGCTAGTTGTCAAAGAACAGGGTGCCAAGAGGTCAGGAGGGAGGATACAAAGCGGGGCGGTGAGCCGGCGACCTCCTGGGCCCTGGAGACCGGGCGTGCAGGTCAGACCTGCTGCTGTCGGGGAAACGGAAAAAGGTCTATAGGTTCTGAGTAAGGGGTCGGCGGGAAAAGAATTTAGAGGCACAGGGTTTCCTCCCCCCAAGGATGAGAAGTCCCTGCAGCCTCCCAGACGGCCAATCAGGTGGCCCTGGAGAGCTGAACCGATGGGCTCTTGGCAGCGAGCTCCTCGACCGCGCGGGCGGCTGTGCGTGTGTGTGTATGAGTTTGTGTATGAGTGTGAGTGTGGGTCTGCCCTAACCGGTCCGTCCCTCCCCCAGAGCCCTCTCTTTTGCCACTCAGACCCCCCCGCCAGCCAGGGTCTGGGCCCCACCACCCCCACCCACCTTGAAGAGGGGTGTGAGGACGACAGCTCCTGCACTGCCGAACTCGAAGGCGGTAAGCAGCTGGGGCAGCACCTTGTGCCGGCAGAAGTCCTCGGGGAAGGAGTCTAGGCTCTTGCTCAGCTCTTGGAAGAACTTTTGCTTCTCAGCTGGCTCTTTGATCTGGGGGAACAAGGACAGGATACAGGTAGGACATCAGCCTAGTCACGCCATTCCTCAGCTACGGGCAAGGACAGGGGGTCGTCCCCCGACCCTGCCTGAAAGACAACTGAAGCGCGTGGCTGCGGGAGCCCAGCGGGGCTGCCTTCAAATCCCAGCTCCCCCTTTTAGCAGCCACGTGACCTTGGGTAAGTCCCTCCATCTGTGAGACGCGCTAACAGCTACACCACCTCACAGAGCTGTCGTGTGCGGGAAACCTGTCAGCTAGCGGCCTGACACACCATCGCCATGGCCAGCACACGCGGACCTGCTGCTGGGAAAGCAGCCGCTGGGGACAGCAGGTCGTTTGTCAGCCTTGCCTCTCCTCCTCACCATAACCCAAGGTGTGAGGACCATTAACCCCGGCACACGGAGGAGGACACGAAGGCTCAGACAGGGGAGGAGGCTTAGCCCATTGCCTAGGCCCCAGCTGGGCGGGCATTCCTGGCAAGCTGTGGGGAAGGCATGGATCAGGTACAGCTGACCCCCAGACCTGGTCCTCCCACTGAAGCCGGACAGACCAGGCTGTCAGCTCAATGACCCCACCAACCTCCCTCTAAGGCCGTCATCCGCAGAATTCACATTCCCTGAGGACAGACTACAGGCCAGCCAGAGTTATATACTGAAACCTTTATGCAGCTTAAATCATCCCCCCGCAACTTTATGAGATAGGTGCTAACATAATCCACATTTGCTCCACCAAGAAAGCTGATGCCCAGAGAGGGCAAGGAATTGGCCCAAAGCCACACAGCTAAAAAGTAGTCAGGGGAAAGTGTGTCCCAGGGGTCTGGTCCCTCCGCGGTGCTGCCCCCAAGGAAGAGGTGCTCACCCCCTCACGTATAGACAAGGAGGCTGAGGTTCAAGGTCACCAGCCAGGAGTGATGGTGCAGGGAGTATGACCTAGTCCTGGCTGCTTCCAAAGTTCCTGTGCTCACTACTGTATGTAACCTCGTTTCCCAAGCTGCTGCCTGGTCCGGAAGAGCTGACCTCTGGCTGGGGATGAGGAGGACCTGGCTGGCGCCGGAGCAGCTCAGGTGAGTGCGGGAGGCAGGCTTCGTGCTCTCACAGCGCTCATGGGGCGCCCCGGCCCAGAGGAAGACTCAACCACACTCCAGGCTGCCTAGCTGGGCTCTCTCCACTGGTCTGCCCAGTGACAGGAAGAGGGGCCTCTAGGTGCTGCCCTCCCACAGTCTCCTGGGACTGGCCAGAAACAGCCATTGCCTGTGGAGCACATTTTAAGCAGGGCAGCCGGGGCTCTGTGAGGAGAAGAGAACTTCGCATAACAAAGTTCCTGCTGCCCCCAAATGGCCCAGGAGGCACAGGGCTCAGCGTTTCCAGCGCTTCTGCCTCGAGATGCAGCCCAGGTTCCCCATGCTGTGCCAGTGTCTGTCACTCCTCCCCAACTCCAGATTCACAGTCACCTTTCTGTGTGCCCCCCCCCCCCACGGCCGGGTCAGAGCAGGTATCCAGGGCCAAACCTTCCTCCTTCATTCCCTACAACAACCTACGGTCCCGCAGAGACTACTATTGCCCCCATTATACAGATATGGAAACTGAGGTTCAAGGAGATTAAGCCAAGAATCCCTTCCTCACACCTTTCCATTTGCTGTTCCCCCTGCCTGGAACATTCTTCCCCAGTCACCATCCCCATGGCTCCCAGTCTTCGGGTCTCAGCTCAAATGTCAGCCCTGAGAGAGGCCTTCCCTGAGCACCCTGACCCACTATTTTCCTTCCTGGTATTTACCCCTGTCCCGGGGAGTACACATTTCCTTTTATGTATTTTCTGTCGCTCTCTGCCAGTGAGAGTACCCTGAAGTAGGTACTGTCATTAGTAACATGTCAGAGAAGTCACACAGCAAGAGTTGGAGCCAGGATTCAGGCCCAGAGAGCCTGGCTCCATAGACCCTCCTTGTCTCTCAGGGTCTAATTCCACTTTGTGGAAAGTGGGGGTGGGGCCCGGGGTGAAGAACACAGGAACAAAGCCCGGGGGGGGGACCGGGGGGACTGGGGGGGGGCTCACCTGGATCTCTTCCAAGAAGAGGTTGGTCTCCACAAAGCGGTTGTTCAAGAAGCCCCCCGGCGCCCGGCAGTTCTGCAGGAAGCGGGCTGGATTGGGACGCACCTTGGGGTTGGCGCCGACTAGCTCACAGTAATGGGGCACCAGCGATTTGGGGATCTATGGGAGAAGGGTCAGTGTCAGGGCAGGGCTGGCTGGCCGGCAGAGAGGAGCTGGGACTGGGTCAGACACTCACCTTCCCAGGATTGCGCAGGGCAGCCGCCCGAGGTAGGGACCCATTGAAGACTTCCCAAATGAGGCAGCCCAAGCGCCACATGTCAGCTGACCTGAGGCAGGGCAGTGACCAGAGCTGCTCGAGGCCCTGCCACCTGCTAGCACAGGCCTCCAGACCCTCACTGCATGGCAGACGCTGAACTATGTCCCTCAGCTGACCCTCCCATCAGGAAGGGAGAACCCTGAGAAGCAGGGTGCGGGTTCATTAGTCCCATTGGACAGATAAAGAAAGTGAGGCTCAGGAAAGCAAGCCACACACCTTTCAACCTCAGAACCACCAAAACACACTCAAAGCCTGTGTTTAAACTGCCCTACCTCCCGGAGGACCCCAGTTCCCTCCCCAGCTGGGCAGCAGGGGACAGGCGGGTGTGCCAGTTAGCTGAGGGGTCCTGAGGCTGCAGGAGCTTCCAGAATAGGGCAGGCTGGGACACGCCACCCCCAGTCACCCACCATTTCTCTCTGACTGCTCTGCCACTGCCATCAGCCAACTCCGGGGGATCATACTGCTCAAGTTCGGGGACCCCCTTCCGGGGGGGCCCCCCGCCATTGCCCTGGGACGAGTACATGTAGTCCAGGCCCCCCAGTTTCCACTCGCCGGCGCGGTCCACGAACACAGCGGCCATGCAGACGTTGTTGTGGATGAGGCTGCAGTCATTGACCAGGAAGCTGAGGGCTTTCTGGGGGCAGAAGGAGCCATCACACCCCCGCAACCCAAGGCCCCCACCCCGCTCTCATCATCATTGCCCCCCACCTCACCACAATCTGGTGTAGCCCCCAGGAGAGCTCCAGCTCCTTCAGGCCACCGGCCTCAGCTCGCTCCTTGAGGTACATTTTCAGTGGGGTCACTGCCTCTGTCACTACATGGAGGCATTTGTCTGTCTGAAGAGGGGGACATGGCGGGAGAGGAAGGGGAGATGAGAGGCCCAGGGAGACAGGTGGAGGAAGGGAATCAAATGTGGGGGTGCCCAGGCAGAAGGGGTGGAACCTGAGGGGCGGGAAGACAGAAGACAAGACGGGGAGACTGGGAGAAAGCGCGGGGCGGAGATGGGGCAGCCTGGGAGGCAGGTACCTCCAGCCCATCGATGTAGGCCAGAATGTTGGGGTGCCGGAGAGTTTTGAGGCGCTTGAAGGCAGCTTTGGCCACCTGGGTCTGCTCGTCGGCACCGGGCTTCACATCGTACACGAAGATGGACACAGGGCTGCCTGTGGCCTGGGGGGAGGGCAGAGGGACCTGAGGGATGTGGGCCGGGCCCCAGCGACCACTCCAGCTTCGAGACGGTCGCAGAGCTGCTCAGTGCGGGGAGGAAAGGGCCACCGCCGGCCTCTCCCCAGGTCAGCCCTCGGACACGGAGCCGGGCCCACGTGACCCCGGTTCCGTCCGCCTGTCATCCCTCGGTCCTTCCGCCCGCCACGTCGGCACTGCCCGGCCCCCTCCCCCGGCCCGTCGCCCGGAGGCTCCGCAGCCACGTCAGGCGGGGCGCGACGCGGCGGGGCCGGCGGCGCTGACTAGGCGAGGCCGAGGTCGGCCGCGGCCTGCGGAGCGGGGCGGCGCTCACCTTCTTGCGGCCGCGGTGCAGGACCCAGGGCCCGGGCGGGCCGCCCTCGGGAGGGTCCGGGCTGAGCTCGAACGGGAAGTCCCGGACCGGGTCCCGGGCAAAGAACCACATTGTCCCCTCCGCCGCCGAAGGCTGGGGACGCCTCTGCTCCGGATCCTCCGGCCGCCGAGCGGGGTGGGGCGGGGCGAGGGCGGGGCCTGAGTCGGTGGGCGGAGCAGATGGGGGCGGGGCGAGGGCGGGATCGGGGGGCGGGGCCGGCGGCGCAGAGACCAGCTTCCAGGCAACCTGGCCAAGCACCTGCTCGACAGGCGCCACCAGTTACCTACCGGTTACTGTATGGGCCTGGCAGGTCACCCAAACTCTCTAAGCCTCTGCGTCCTTACATCTAAAATGTGGGTGGTAGTAGAGTCTACCTCCCAGCGTTATTATGGGGATGAGAACTTGAGAAGGAAGAGGGGATGGAGAAACCGAGGCATAGAAGAGGAGAGCTAGCGGGACGGAAGAGGAAGTAAGCCGTAGACAGACGTGAAGGAGAGAAGTGGGGTAGACAGAGGCTTAGGGAGGACGATTGTCCCCAAGCCAGATGTTCTCTCCCACCTGCCAGTGGGCAGCTCCAGGATCCAGTGAGGCATCAGTGTTGGTGGAATGACTGAGTGACCGAAGAAGCAGCTCAAGGAGACAGAGCAAGGGGAAGGGGGGGCACAGAATGTGAAGCAAACATCCAGGGGAGGTCAAGGAACCTTGTGGCAGGGAGGGAAGAAGCAGAAACTCCAGAAAAAGAGAAGAAACAGCCCAGAAAGTCCAGAAGAGACCAGAGGGCCAGGAGGGCCCTGCTCTCCTCGGCCCAGCAGACCTGGCTGTCTGGTCTCCAAGGAGAGCATCGGCATCTTTTCCAGGCCCCCCACTGCCTATGCAGGTAGGGGTTCTTTATGACAAAGTGGTGTCTGCAGCTCAAATGGCAGTCACACTAGTGGGGACCCAGCCCCTTAGCTGGATGGAGTCCAGTGTCCAGGAGAGACTGACTGGGCAATGACCCCCCCTCTTCAGGTAGGGTCTCAGGGGACCCAGGTTTGGGGACAGTCCTGTAGTCACCCCTATGGAGTGTGGGTGAAATCCTAGAACCTATTATATGTTAGTTGGGAGGCCTTTGGGAGCAGACTGGAGAGTGGGGGATGCCAAGGTCAGCAGAGCTGGGTTCAAATTCCTGCTCAGGCCCTATCACTGGCTGTGGGAGCCCACCTTATCCTCTGGAAACCTTGCTTCCCTCATCTGTAAATTGGAATGAACAGTACTCTGTTCAGTACCACCTGACAGAGAACAGTCACTCAGCACAGCACTCATTGTCTCCCTTTCCTTGTCCAAGCACCTGTGAGGGACAGTCACCCAGAGGGAGGGTTGGACAGGGTGTTGGCTGCTCAGAGCAGAATAGAAGTAACTGCTAGAGATTTTCCTGTGTAGCTTCTGTTAGGAAGATAGTGACAACACTGTGAATATGGAATTTGCAATATTGGAGGGTGGGGAGTTAAAGTCACGGGTGTGGGGGGTGGGGAATGGCAAGTAGGAGTCTTGAATGCCTGAACACAGAGCCTAGAAATTTTTTCATACCAGGGAGGTAAGTAAGCCAGAGCCTGAGCTGTGTGCTTGTGAGTGTGAAATGATGGAGAGGACACTTTGGAGTCATGGTAGAAGGGGATGGTTCAAGAAAATAGGGGTCATGTGGTAGCATCAGTCAGTGCATGTTGTCTTAGCCCCTACCAAGTGTTTGGTCTCTGCAGTGCATGGGGGCCTCTCCTGGAGAAGAAACAGGTGCAGAAAGGGAAGGCCACTGAGCTGGGGGAGATCGGGGAGTCTCCAGTGCACAGAGGGACAGCAAGGAGGTAGGAGCCAAGCCTAGCACAGGCTGAGCGGATCACACTAGAAAGCAGAGTTACAAATGAAGAATCAGGAAACAGATTCTCTGTTAACTAACCTCCTTCTACAGTGGAACTCAGCACGGAAGGGCTACCATCTTCAGAAGAGGACAGCATCCCTTTCCCCGGTTCTCTTTGTGCCCACCTTGCCCTAACATTGAGCCTCCACATCATCAGCTGCAAAGCGGGGGTAATACAAGTTCACTGCCCTATGAGGGAGGACTGGTGTTCTTCCCATCTTACAGGTGAGGAACCCAAGCTCTAAGTGCTCACACATAGAAAGTGGCAGCCCAGGGGCACCTGGGTGGCTCAATGGGTTAAGCCTCTGCCTTCGGCTCAGGTCATGATCCCAGAGTCCTGGGATCAAGCCCCGCCTCGGGCCCTCTGCTCAGTGGGGAGCCTGCTTCTTCCTCTCTCTCTGCCTTTCTCTCTGCCTACTTGTGATCTCTCTCTCTCTCTCTCTCTCTCTCTCTGTTAAATAAATAAATAAAATAAAATAAAATAAAATAAAGAAAGTGGCAGCCCAGCTGGGACAAATCCAAGCAGCCCACCAAGACCCACAAGGACCTGGAGACATGGTGCGGCAGGCACACGTGCATTCTGCGGGGTACCAGGGGGCCAGCCGCTCCCCAGCAGGTACAGTGGGATGTCAAGCAAGGGGAACCTGGAGGCAGGTGCCTCGGGTTGAATGCCACGTCTATGGGATCTTGGGAAGTCACTTCACGTGTTTTCCTTGCCTGTAAACGGACGACTCTCAGAGTAATGAAGCATTCGCCTCTGCGGTTAACAGGGGTACTTGGCCCCAAATAAACAGCCACGGACAAGGGACATGGAAGGCGTTGAAAAGGAAGTTGTAGACAAGCTTTGTGGCGTAGATACAAAATAAAGAGGGGAAAACTGGAAAGTGATGGAAGTGATCTATTAACTAGGGATCTTCAGATATCACTGGAGACAAAAGCAATCCACCAAGGTGGGAAAATCAAACCCTCAAAAACGGTGGCTCTGACAAGGTGGGGCAGAAGGAGACAAGGCTGGGGTCACAGTCAAGGTTAGGACAGTGTTTTCAGTCTTGCAATATGTGAAGGTAATCAAGAATTTTTTATTTTTTTCCCAGGAAACTGAGAATTCTTTATTCCCACTATAATGTTTTTTGTTTTTTTATGAATGAGAGAGTATTGTTCTTCTCCTTTCACGAAAGAGAAACATTTCTCAGTCACCAAGTTGATAAGTTGTAAAAATCCTTTGGTTTTGTGTACTCAAGTCCTATTCTGCCCTCAAAGCATCTGGATTTTCAGTGCTGCTGGTGGACATGAAATGACGCAGCTGTAGCAAAGGACAGCTCGGCAACACCGATTAAACTTCACCCCAGTAATTCTGCTTCTAGAAAGGTATGCTACACATAGCCTCATTCTGGTATGCAAAGATTTACACAACGCTGTGTAGCTGAGTCAGACTGCCTGTTTCCCAGCTCTGTTCCTTATGAGTCGTGCGACCATGGGCAAGTTACTTACTCTCCTTGCACCTCAGTTTTTTCATCTGTAAAATGGGTAGAATAATAGTATTTATTCCACGGGTAAGGTAGGCTGAACAAAGTCAGCTCACATATGTCCACATCTTAATCCCAGGACTCTGTGAATATGTTGCCTTACACGGTAAAAGGGGCTTCCCTGTTGCAATCTAGTCACGGATCTGGAGATGGGTAAGTCATCCTGGATTATCCCCGTAGGCCTGATGCTGTAGGCGGACCACAGTGAGTAGTAGGTGTGCCAGCAGGAGCTGTTGTGAGGGAGGGGTCGTGAGCCAAGGAAGGAGGCCGCTTTCTAGAAGCTGGAAAACTCAGCCTCTCCCCTGCAGCCCTCAGAAGGGACACAGCCCTGCTGACCCCTTCATTTTAGATTTCGGGTATCCGGAAGCATAAGGTAATAAATCAGTGTGGTTTTAGGCCACTAAATTTGTGGAAATTAATACAATAAGCACAGGATGAGAATTTGTGAGTTACTGTAGGTAACAGCTTCAGTGCCTAGCGCAGCTGGTGCTCGGTGGAGGGGGATCAGAGGGCCGCTGGTAATCGGGGCAATGGGGAGGAGTCTGGCAGGAGTGGAGGGATTCAAAACTCCATGCATACCACGAAACCACAGCAATGGCTAATAAAGAAGAGGCTGTTCCGTAGGCATCGGCGTGGACACCAGCTGGTGATGAGGACAAGGATGAGGTGATGACGTCACTGCTGTTTTCTGCATCCTCCCTGCCTGTCAGGCACTGAGCTAAGCGCTCTCCCTCCTTCCGATCCTCATAAGAATGTGCGGGATCTCTTTCAGTCCGAGAGAAACCACGAAGTCATTTGGACTGGAGAAGTCTAACATAAAGAATTATTAACTGGGGGCTCCTGGGTGGCTCCGTTGGTTAAGCCACTGCCTTCCGCTCAAGTCATGATCCCGGAGTTCCAGGATGGAGTCCCGCATCGCATCGGGCTCCCAGCTCCGCGGGAGTCCGCTTCTCCCTCTGACCTTCTCCCTCTCATGCTCTCTCTGTCAAATAAATAAAATCTTAAAAAAGAAAGAAAGAAAGGAAGGAAGAAAGAAAGAAAGAATTATTAACTGTGACAGGGATTGGAGTACCAAGGGATTGGCCGGTAAGGAGTAAAGAGGGCTCTTGGGGCGCCTGGGTGGCTCAGTGAGTTAAAGCCTCTGCCTTCGGCTCAGGTCATGGTCCCAGGGTCCTGGGATCGAGCCCCGCATGGTCCTAGGATAGAGCCCTGCATCGGGCTCTCTGCTCAGCGGGGAGCCTGCTTCCCTTCCTCTCTCTGTCTACTTGTAATCTCTGTCTGTCAAATAAACAAAATCTTTAAGAAGAAGAAGAAGAAATAAAGAGGGCTCTAAAAAGAATATCGGAATAGCAGATATAAGGAGCAGCCTTCATCCCCAGGGCTGAGATAGAGCACTACCCCCCCCACCATCCCTCCCCCCGCCCACCCCACCCCCCGCCCTCGCCAAGGACCTCCGTCCAGCCCCGGGTCTGAGCTCCAGACCTGGCTGGAAAGGGAACGGCTGTAACGTAACTCATTGGATAGTAGAGAAGTTGCTGAAGTCCCACGAAGGTCCCGTGGAACTTGCTGGAAAGTCATGCTTTAAGGGGCTGGGGAAGAGGCACTCTGCTGCTCCCAGGATGGGCCTGGGGGAAGAGGCTGGTGGTGGGTGCTGCAGGCTCCCTGCTCGGAAGGAGCTTCTACCCGTGGCGGGAGCTGAGCTGCAGAAGCTGGACCTGCCGCACAGGCCAGAGGAGAG